AGCAAGTTAGGATTTTCTGCTTTTCACCACGTGAAAAAGCATCTCATCTTCCATCCGAATCAACCAAAAAGTGAAAATTGATTTTTTGACACCTAAGCCCCCTTTCCGTAGACCAGGTCACATATATGTATATGCACGTTTTTGCACTTTTTCTTAGAATCACAAATTCTTCAACACAATTCGTCAAAGAATAATATTTCACTAATATGGGTCTAGAAAAAAGGCTCTTTAGAAGAAAGTATGCGTAATAAAGTTTCAAACACGAATTTTTAAAATCATATATTCAATTTTTCGCTTTATTTATAAAACATTTTGATAATTTTAAACACATTAAATTTTTCTTTTTACTTATAAATCAATGAAACGAAGAATTTTCAAATTTTTCGTGGTTTTTTGAAAAATTCTTCTAGAACTTCGTCAACTGAAAAATTTATATCTTTGTGAATATTCATAGATGCTAGACCGTTGAGCCTTTCTTGACATGTTGTATTTCTCAAGTAGGTTTTAATTCTTTTCAGGCATGAAAAGCTTCGTTCAGGTGTGGCTATTGAAACGGGCAAAAGTGACAATATACGTAAGATCTTAAAAACATTTCGAAAATGTTCGTGTGAAACTCGTTTTTTCCACATTTTTCCAGAAGAAAGTTTTGTTTCGAGCAGTCGATTACTTTTTCATAGAAAGCAAACAATTCTTCAGTTTTTTTTTCGTTAAAATCATACTTTGGAAACAAAACACTAAAATTATTTAAAACTGATATATGGTTTAAGAACCGGCTTTACAAATGAGCAGTATATGTATCAAGGAAGGGAATGTTAAAAGCAATGCGATAGTATGCCTCGGCGTCTCCGGTTTTCACATTAAAGCGATTCTTTTGGCGACTGCTGTATCGCGGTACTTTGATTTCTGTACCTAGGTTGGTGCATACTTCTTCTACGTGTTCGAAAAGCAAATTAAATTTTTTTCTGCATCTTGTCGCATTTCTTCAAATTCCTTTAAAGCGTCGTCGGCTAAGCTCATTGCTTCTGCAAGATCTTCATCAGGTACTTGTAATTGCCGGCTAGCAAAGCAACAACAATTTATAAAAAAGCAAATGCTTGGCTGTTGTCGCTGTGCTAACAGTTTTTCAAACCCTGATAATTTCTATAGATATTCGCACGATACAAAAAATTATTACGGTATTTTCCCCGTGACAAATAAAAAGTTTTTGACAATTGGAAGAAATACAACTTCGTAAGTCTTTTTTAAACGATTTTTCATTTTGCTACGTTAGAGCCGTTGCCGAGAAACTTATGGATACATATACATATACACAAAAATTGCTCGTTTAAGGTAATTAGAATAAGGGGCAAAATTTCCCGCAAAACCCCACCCCCCACCCCCACACAGGAAATTTTGGATCCGCCGCTGGTCCCACCCGTGACAGAAGAAATAAAATCAAACTTTTTCCATATAAAAGTAAGCTGCATTTTTTTCATATTTTGTAATAACTCATATAATAGTCAATTTGGTTAAGCTTTATCAAAATGTAGAATTGTTGAGTACTTTATACTTAAATTTAAACAAGAAAGAAAATTTTTTCTGTACAAATGTCCAACCCGTGACGGTGGAATCGCCCTTATTCAATATCACAATATGGGTATCAAAGAGAAGGTGTTTGAACATGCTTTACCACTAGCATGTCTTTAGTAGGGTTGCCTATCTATCTTCTAAAGATATCATTTTTATTATTTTATTTATAATATTTAAAGAAAGAAACTACAAATTTAATTGAGAAATTTTAAATGGTGGTCGTACATATGTTTTTTAAAAATTCATTTCAATCGACTAAAATTGGTAAATGAATTTTAAGAATTCTTTTAAAATTTAAACTATTATTAGCCTGCAAATTGCCACACTTGCAGTATCCAGGGCCTGCCAGGCGGAGGTTAAAGGAATAAAATAACCCACTCAAAGATCTAGATCTGTTGTTTTAGAATTTCTAAATAAATTGATACATTTTTTTCATAATAAAGTTTTTTCATAATTAATAATTAATTGAACGCTTCTTCAGACTTTATGGATTCTGCATGTTATGAACATACATAACAAAAGGTTTCAAATGTAATAATTTTTGGTTTATGCATACTTCAAAGTATCCAGATTAAATAAATTTATTATTTTAAACTTTTAAATACCATTGGTTTTTAGCCACTCTTTCAGTCTTCTGGCCCACCGTGCGATAGTGTATTTTCTAAGATTGTGGTGTATAAGGACTACAAGTTTTTCATAGTAGAAAGTACTTGGGTCCGGTTTGCATATTTATCGACAATAACACAAGTTTACAAAAATTAAAAAACGTCTGACCTGAGCAATTTTTATATGCATTCTAATGCAAAATTGTCCGTAAAATTCGAACACGACTATAAGAAAGTAAAACAATTTCTGAAAAAAGTACACTCCGGGCTGCCAACTATCCTTAGCTATTAATTAATTAATTAATCCCAACGGCTTTTTACCCTCCATTCGCGCCCAACCGACACGAGGGGCGCAGTCCGCATGACGTACGGAACCTTTTTTTTTAGTTTTTTGGTGCCGAGTAGTGGAAACAGGAGTTTGTTAAGTGTCGAGATCTAAAACTATTCAGCTACAGAATCAAATTCATCAGCTGATTGGATATGCTAAAGATAGCATTTCAATTATTGAGAGTGGAAATAATAGTTTTCTTTATAGTAAAAATCGAGTCCGATACGTCAAACGTGCTGTTAAAATCTTGACATAAACCACGGAATAATTCGTTTAGTTCAAAATTTGTTTTGCATGGCTTTAAAAATAGAGGTCGAAAGTGTCTTGACACTCGAGAAGGAACATTAAAATTTACCTGCCAGGAGGGCCGGGCTATTAATCAAGCCTGTCATTAATTTTACGATAAATATTATACCTAGCATTTCTCTACGACTTGCGAGTGTAGGCAAATTTATGAGCTTTAGACGACTTGTGTAAGGGGGGAGATTGTAATCTGAATCCCAGTTAAAATTACGCAATGCAAAAAGCAAGAATTGTTTTTGAATTGATTCAATCCTTTCTGAATGAACTTGGTACCGGGGATTCCAAACAATAGATCCGTATTCTAGTATAGGTCTAACCAAACTGGTAAAAAGAGCTTTTGTAACATAAGGATCTCTGAACTCTTTTGACCATCGCCTTACAAATGCAAAAACGCCGTTGGCTTTATTGACTGTAACATTAATATGATGGTAGAAATTGAGTTTGGAATCCATTGTGATACCAATATCGACAAAATTGGATACCTGCTCCAGATTATAATTTGATATTGAATAAACAGCTGGTTGAACAGCCCTCCGAGAGAAACACATAACTTTACATTTTTGAAGGTTTAGTGGCATATAGTTTGTATTACACCAACTAACCACGTTGTTCAGATCCGCTTGTAACAAAGACCTTTCTTCGATAGAGGACAATGTTTTAAAAAGTTTCACATCATCGGCATACATTACAATTTTTGAATGTTTTATTATAGAAGAAATATCATTAATGAATATCAGGAACAGAATCGGACCAAGGTGGCTTCCCTGAGGAACTCCTGAAAAAACTTTAATGATGTTGGAAGAACAATTATTAACAATAACTCTTTGTGTTCTATCAGAGAGGTAAGATGAGATCCATTGAAGAAGACTGGGCTGAAAGCCGATTAGGTCGAGTTTACGGATGAGTAACGAGTGACATACTTTGTCAAAAGCTTTACTGAAATCGGTGTATATTACGTCGGTATGAGCATTTTCTCTAAAACCGTTTGAGACATGAGTTGTAAACTCCAATAAATTAGTCATAGTAGATTTTCCTTTAGAAAACCCGTGTTGAGATTGTGTAATTGAAGAAGATATAGAATATGTCAGCTGGTTAACAATAATTGCTTCGAATAATTTGGGGATAGCGGAGAGTTTCGCTATGCCTCGATAGTTTTCTATAGAGGACCTGCTGCCGTTTTTGTGAAGTGGTATTATGAAAGACTCCTTCCAGGCTGACGGAAAAACGCCATGTTTAAGTAACAAATTGAATAGAGTTGTTAAAGGCTCGCAGATGTTCTCAGCGCAGTTTTTAAGAAAACAGGTCGGAATATGATCAGGTCCAGGCCTAAATGACGCTTTTAAGGTTTTTAAATAGTGTAAAACTTCATCGGAAGATATTACTGGAATATAAGCAGAGTTGATTGGACAAAGCTCGTACGGATAGACTCCACTTATAGGGAAGTCTACAGAATAATTGGACCTAAAGAACTGAGCAAACATGTTGGCAATGAGTTGGCTGTCGCTAGATACAGTGTTGCGATAATGTATAGCGGACGGAAAACCATGCGCCTTACGCTTTGAATTTACGAAACCATAAAATGATTTAGGATTAAATTCTTCTTAATTTTACATAAATATGAAATATAACATTTCTTATTTAATGCAAAGTAGCTATGCCGCAAAACTGAGTATCTTAGGTAATCACTGTGTAAGTCCGTTCTTTTATACAGTTTAAAAGAGTGCGACTTTTTATTTTTCAATTTTTTAAGCTCTTTAGTGAACCATAATTGTATTGGTTCTTCATGAACAATATTACGTTTTGGCACATACTTTCGAAACAAATTGAAAACAGTATCATTAAAGTGCTTAACGCTACGCTCCACGTCATCTCTATATATTGGCCAAGATAACTTTGAAAGTTCTTTGTTAATTTTCCTGAAATTTGCTTTCGCAAAAACATATCTATAGTTATTCTTGTTCGCTGTCGGTTCGGACCGAAAAAGTAATTTCGTGTATTTCCTTTGATATTTTGTGAACAAAATGAATAACTCGTTGCAAATTGGAGATTATATTTATAATTTCGATAACGTTGAATCAGAAGAAGTGTGTGAAAATTAAGAAGGAGTGGTTTTTGCTACCACACCAGTTGTTGACAATGACGATGAGGAGAAGATGGTCGAGCTGCTAAAAGAATTCGAAATGGAGAAACGACTTAATAAATTAATATTTTAATCAACTTAATTTATTCTCTAATATTATATCCGACCGCGATCTGCAGCTTCGCAGATAACTTTTAGAAGCCTTAAATTTCTTAGAGGTGCTGACCTAAAGGAAGCCATTCCGCCGCTGGGTCTACGTGTGGAGTTTAGAGGGAAATTATTCATGTGGAAGAAGAAAGAGGTATGTATATGTTATAAAACAAACTGTTTTAGGTCTCATAGTTTATTTTGCACATACATAGTTCGGAATAGATGATGAAACCATGTCAATGCCAAGCAAAGTAACTGAATGGTTACAAAAAAACAACTTTATGCCATCAAGTCAGTCATCTTCTTCGCCCCACTGTCTCAGTAAAGTAATTTCAATTAATTTTATTTTAAACTAAATTACATTATAATTATGTAAATATTACTTGAACAAGGATTTACCGAGTTTACTTCAACAAACGTGCAAGGGGAAACTAATCTTCGAATCCTACAAAAAGAATCAACATTTGACTAACGGGAACCGGGACGACCTCATAAGCATTATCATTGACGAAGTTATTGCAAATGACATTATACTAAGAGGGAATGATTTTGTGAATTTGCTAGAGCAGATAATAAATCTCTTTCCAAACGAAAAGGGTGCCCGGGTAATCTATTTATTATGAAATTGTTAAAATATACATTTTATTGTACTGCTTATTTTTCCCCCAAGGAATACTATTATATTCCGCGCAAGGGTAAAAAATGCCCTAGTGGAAAGCTGTACGGGAAATACGTCAATCAACGCAGTAAGAAAAGGAAGACAATATACCTAGAACAAAACACACCATCACCTGCTAGTACTAAGACTAATCCTTCCACGAAAAATTACGAAGTTCCTGAAATTGATTTTACGATATGTAGAGTATTAAAAGCATCTCTCAGCAGAAGCATTGCCGATTGGAATGAAGTCAGAGATAAATGGCAAAAGACATTTAACTTGCGACAGAATGACTTAAAGGAACTGACCAACATTGATTTTCTCCAAGCCTGGCCCAAATATTATGATTCGCGGGCTCCTGACTTGGTAACAATGAAATTACGTACTTAGCTCGCAGTTTTACTATACATTTACACATTACAGATAAAACTTGACTTCAAGATCATGTACCCTGACAAGGAGGATTGTTTGTATTCGAAATGGGAAATGTTTACGGAAAAAATTCAACGATTTTATGAAACTAATCTACACAACGATTTCTGCAAACAGCTCTTTTCTCTTGCTAAAGCTTCAACGAACAAAGGTAAATACAGATCAAGTGTAACAAAAAACTCCAAAATCAATCGGCTTTCGTTAATTTCTTAAATTTTGTTTAAAGATACGCAAGACTACATTCTTACAACGCTGCTGAATGGAGTTCTTCCACCTTCATCATGGTTTCAAAGTTCCTGCGGAAAGCTAAGAAAGAAAGCAACAATAGCAGACTCGCAACAAAGCTTTGTTTTACGATTAACTTCAATCAACGATTACGAAAGGAAAATTACTGAGTTGATAAGTATGTACTATTCTGCAGGAATGACAATACAGCCTTTTATAATTATGGAAGGAATAGCTGAGGGTGATATAACAGGATTTTGTATATATTTTGATAAAACATTGTATAAATTTGAGTCGTTTCTAGAATGCCTAGATATCTGTTTCAAAATTTTTCACACTCTTTGCCTAAAATATCCTCAGGCATGCGAAACTTCTTGGGTTTTTTTACAACAGTTTTTTTTTTGAAATTTATACTGAATATGACTGCAAGCCGGCAAATTTAACGTCTCTGTTGAATTTTATGACATATAATTAATTGCTTTAAAATGTTTATTTGCTTCAAGTGCCACAAAAAATTTGCAGAAATTGATACCTTAATATGTCATTTTAAAGTAGATCATAAGCTTTCTACGAAACTTTTACCACTGCAATGCAAGCAAGATACCTGTAATCAATTATTTACAAAATTTACTTCGTTCCGCAATCATTTACAAAATACTCATACAAAATTTAAAAACACATACGAACCAAACGTAACTCCAACTGAAGCTATAACGATACCGATTTTAAGTAATAATTTAAGTACGGAAACAGAACCTTTCTGTGTGGCCGGAAAAGGGGGTCGGAAGTATTTTTGCGCAGAACTTCTTTCTGCGTAGGCGGCCGCGCTTAGGGATTATAACCCTTACTAAGTACAATTCTCCTTTCTGTGTTGCCGGAAAAGAAGGGCGGAAGTATTGTTGCGCAGAACTTCTCTCTGCGTAGGCGGCCTTCGGCCGCGCTTAGGGATTATAACCCTTACTAAGTAGAATTCTCCTTCCTGTGTTGAAGGAAAATAAGGGCGGAAGTATTTTTGCTGCAAAACTTCTCTCTGCGTAATCGGCCTTCGGCCGCACTTAGGGATTATAACCCTTACTAAGTAGAATTCTCCTTTCTGTGTTGCCGGAAAAGGGGCCGGAAGTATTTTTGCGCAGAACTCCTTTCTGCGTAGGCGGCCTTCGGCCGCGCTTAGGGATTATAACTCTTACTAAGTAGAATTCTCCTTTCTGTGTTGCCGGAAAAGGGGACCGGAAGTATTTTTGCGCAGAACTTCTTTCTGCGTAGGCGGCCTTCGGCCGCGCTTAGGGATTATAACCCTTACCAAGTACAACTCTCCTTTCTGTGTTGCCGGAAAAGGGGCCGGAAGTATTTTTGCGCAGAACTTCTTTCTGCGTAGACGGCCTTCGGCCGCGCTTAGAAATTATAACCCTTACTAAGTAGAATTCTCCTTTCTGTATTGCCGGAAAAGAAGAGCGGAAGTATTTTTGCTCAGAACTTTTCTCTGCGTAGGCGGCTTTCAGCCGCGCTTAGGGATTAAAACCCTTACTAAGTAGAAGTAAATAATTCATATTAGAAAAAACGAAATTATCCATATGCACACTTTCGTTAGAAAACCGAAATAATGCATATAACAAAAACCGAAATAATGCATGCATGCACAATTTCGCTTCAAAACCGAAATAATGCATATGAAAAACCCGAAGTAATGCATACATGCAAAGTTTCTGTTGAAAGCCGAAATAATGCATATGAGAAAATACCGAAATTATGCATATGCATACTTTCGTTTTAAAGCCGAAATAATGCATATGAAAAAAAACTAAGTAGTGCATACATGCACAGTTTCGGTTTAAAACCGAAATAATGCATATGGCAAAAACCGAAATAAAGCATACATGCACAGTTTCGGTTGAAACCGAAATAATGTCTAAATGCACAGTTTCCATATGCGCAATTTCGGTGCCCCAACCAAAATCTCTGTAAATATTGTATTTATCATGTATTTATTTTGTAACAAAATAATAGACACTCGGCTTTTTGACCAGTTTTGACTATTCTGTTGTTTGACTAATATTCATTTATTTTTTTATAAAGGCTCATCCATAACAAAAGCCATATAAATCCGAATTTAAACTTTGTACAAAAATTAGGAAAATTCAACAAAAACTCATTAAAATTTTCAACTTTTTAATAAGAGTTGCTAGAAAGACTTTTAGTATGCTAAATTTTAATACAATATATGCTAGCCTGAATTTGCTGAAAAATTCCGTTGATTTTTGATAATCTTTTTTACGGTGTTGTGCATTTTTTTCCGTGAGAAAAAAGATTATCAAAAATCAACGGAATTTTTCAGCAAATTCAGGCTAGCACATATTATATTAAAATTTAAAAGGCTATAAAAATGCATGCTAAAAATTTTTCTGAAACTCTTATTAAAAAGTTGCAAATTTTCCTGAATTTTATAAAAAGTTTTAAATTTGGCCATTTAACTTTGTAAAAAATAAATGAATATTACTCACACAACAGAATAATCAAAAGTGGTCAAAATGTCGAGTGTCTATTATTTTGACATAAGGAGGGCCGTAAATCCACTTTTTTTAAGACTTTTAATGGTTAATAGCAAAAATCTGTGCGAAAGATGAAAGGTTGCGGTCAATATCTTGGGTCGCACAATAAGAACTCTACTAAAGCTGTTTTTCGGCCCACCCCATGTATATGACCGTTTTTATAGGATTATTTTAGATTTAAGTTTTTATTTCTCATAATAAGTGTGTACCTACAAAATGTAATGCAAATTTGTACCTTGACTAATAATTTTTTGTATGGCTTAAAAAAGGTGAATAAATAAAGAGTGGTGAATATAAAAAAAACTAAAATGTTTCATTATTAAAACGAATACACATAGTTTTAATTTAACAATATAGGTATTTGATTTGATGTGAATCATATTTGAATTAAATATGAATATTTTTAAATCAAGCACATTTGTTATTTGAATTAACAAAAATCAAGCTTAAATCAAAAATGAAAATTATTATATTAAAAATGAAAGTTTTCGATTCAAAATTTTATAGTATTTAAAATAACGATGAAAAATATTTAAATCAAATATGTTTTTACTTGATTTTACAATGTTATAGCGCACATTTTTAAAGTAAAAATTTTCATACTTACGTCACTTTTAAATACGTTTTTGCTTCGTTTAAGCACGTTTTCATTGATTTTACAATGTTTTTTCCCTGAGTGTAGTACTTGAACTTGACTTATTATTATGTATTTAATTTATGATTTCGTAGCTTAACTCAAGAGCAGGATGGTATGCATCTTACGGCAAAACTAGGGGATCACACCGATTAATACAGGCCTTCGGAACATCATCAACGTAAACGAGATCCAAGACCTTTCCAAACTTATTTAGACATATATTTATTTGTTTGAGGCAAAGTTCAGCCATTTCCTCCAGAAATACATTGTAACTATCTCTAGATGAAGATCAGTGTCAATGATGTTCCATGAAATGTGTGGCAAATTTAAATCGCCCAAAACAATCATAGAATCGGAAGCCGTAAGCATTGCACTTACGGTCTCAAGTAAAGAAACTAGCTGCATATATACCGATACGGCAGAATTACGAGGGATATAGCAAAGAGCTAAATAAATATAAGTCTTTCCAGCCTGTACACGTATACATTTAAATTAGGTATATTCAATGACAGGAAGACTAACTTCCACGGATGGTATCGATAAATGCACCGCAAAAAGAACACCACCGCCGATTCTGCCCACGCGGTCACTCCTGTATATTTGATATTCATTTGGAAGAATTTCGGAATTAAAAATATGGGGTTTGAGCCATGTCAAGGAAATAATATTATAATTGCAGTCAAAACCTTTTAAATATAAGTCAGTTAATTTGGTATTCAAACCTCTAAAGTTTTGATAGTAAATACTTAAATTAGACTTGCGAGTTAGTTTTTTGAATCCGAATTAAGATCAGAAATTTTAGCTATGTTATTATTACTTTTATTAGGTTTATACTCAAACTCGCGAACAAACGCCCCGGTCGGCCAAAATGAACTATTTAGTAGTGAATCAAAATCTTCGGAAGCTACATCAAATATCGCAATCGTATTTAAAATTAAATTTACGAATAAATACATCTTTAGTTCTAATTTTAGTCGATATGTATGACTTTATATCATCCGAAGAAGAATCTTTAGCAAATCTAGAGACAAAGATTGATCTTCTCGGAGGAATTACAACCAACTTTTTGGTAATGATGTCTGATGTGCGGGGCTCCGAATTATTCGGAGGAACTAAGTTAGACAGCGCAGCTTGAGATGTTGATGGCAACACTGTTAAATCAACGGTTTGACTATTTTTAGAAGTAGACCTAGTGGATATGGCTTTAGATATCGGAAGCTCCAATGCCTGAGAGCATGGAGAAGATAGATTAATAAGTTCCAAGGACTGGGATGGAGGATTTTTTTTACTAGAATCCGTGGCTGTCTTTTTAGGTGGACTAATAACACGCCCACCTTTATTTTCTCGGCTATCCTCAGAGTGTGGAGGGTGAGGTGGATGAACACGTAAGGGTAGTGCTGCAAAGCTTTACACCTTTCATAAACATCAGAAAATTTTAAATCAACCGATTAATAATCCTTTTTCAAATTAAATGAAACCTTTTTCAGATTCAGTGAAACTTTATTCAAACTAAATGAGACCTTTTTCAGATTCAATGAAACTTTATGCAAATTAAATGAAACTTTTTTCAAATTAAATGAAACTTTATTCAAATGAAATGAAACTTCTTTTTTGGATTACTTTGAATTAGCTGTTACGTGTTGCTCTCCCTTACGGTCAAGGCATGTTGAATACAGTGTTGCCGTTTCGGTCTAATTGAATCAAAATTGGTAGTTTCATTTCTTAAAAAAAAGGCTTTGGTAGGTTGGTTGGTTTGTTGCAATTTTCGAGGGGTTTTGGTAACTAGGCAAATCATATAATTTATTCATTTTATAAAACTTCAAATATCTCAGTTTTCGGGAGTACATGTAAAGGATGATGTGAAAAGGAAAAGAGAAATGGGACATGTCAAAATTATTCTTGAACCGAAGTTGAATGTTGCCGTGATTAGACTGTGCTCTAATCCATAGAGTTTGTTTAAGTTAAAAGAAAATAATTAGACAATTGTTATGCAAATGCCAAATTTTACATTTCGCTTAAGCGAGTGAGTGAGAAGGGAGAGTATTTGTACTATAAATCCCTCTTCTCCCTTAAGAAAATAATAGTTGACAGCTTTGAATTCGTGTAGCAACAGTATATAAAAATATTCTCCCAGTTAAACATCATAATCGGCGTTATCGACTCCCTGATATAAGTATGTCGTCGATAACGATGTGTAACTGGGAGTTAAGGCTCTGTTACGTACGTGTTTTTTACGTAGAAATCAAAAGCCAACAGACTTCTACGTATGTAATGCTGTGCGTTGGGTAACAGCTTACACGCGAAGCTCATTTAAAAGATTCCTTATGTGACAACTCCCAAGTAACGCCAAGTATGCATAACAGAGCGTTTAGTGTTAGCCAGACATGGTGCAAACGGCTCTTAATAGGTTAAGTTGATTTCCTGTTCCTTAATTTAAAAATGTTTAATACTTAATTTGAATAAAGTTTCATTTAATTTGAAAAAAGTTTCATAGGGTTTGAATAAAGTTTCATTGAATCTGAAAAAAGTTTCATTTAATATGAATAAAGTTTCATTGAATCCGAAAAAGGTTTCATTTAATTTGAAAAAGATTTCGCTTCATCTGAAAAAGGTTTCAATTAATTTGAAAAGGGGGTCGTTTAACC